AGCTCCTTCATCTTCCACATCAGCTGTAGGGCTTGCGCAGGCTGTTTTGCTGCTGGTGTTTTTGTGCGCAGCTGGTTTTCTGAGTGCAGCTGGCCTTGTCATGGTTTGCAAAACGGCAAAACCTCTGCAGCAATGCAGCCACTACTTGCCTCCCATTGAAAAGGCTGCCAGTGGGGCCTGGCATGGCTCAATGTCTTTCTGTAGGGTCAAGCCCGCAAAGGCGTCGGGCGTGATGCACACAGCAAGCCATATTGCTGAGTTAATGTGGCAACAGAGAGAGGGTCTGAGCAAGACAGGATCATGTCAGCTCTCATTCACAAGACACAGCACGCCTGAGCAAGGCAAGCCTTGTGGCTTTCAGGAATGATTGATCAGTGGTTTGAGGGATGTTGGTTGAGCCCGTGGAAGGCTGGGGTGGAGGCAAGGCTTCAAGTTTCACCAAAGATTTCTACTGGAACACACCGCATTGGGCTTAAACGAGGACTACCAATAAAAGCAACAAGGCATCACCTAAACATGCAACAAGCGTGGTCTTTTTTAGCTCAACCTAGACTTCATGTCTAACCACCACCACCACCGCCACCACCTCCTATGAAGATCAACTTCAACCCAAAAACTGACGCAAACACAGTTGAACAGTCCGTGAACACAAATGAAACAACCTCCAACCAAGCGTGAACCTAGCGCGAAACGTTCGTGAACGATCGATCGTCCCCCGTCCCGCGACTGCGATCAGTCGTCACGCCCTCGCGCCGCTCGATGCTTCCTTTTCAGCATCGACTTGAACCATGAAGTCGCACGGCATGTCTCGAACCATAAGAATCCTTTAAGATAAAATCACTTGAAAATGATTAAAAAACAATGGTTTTACTATTTTTATAGAATTTTATTTTTTTTAAGTTTATGTTTTTGATAAAAAAAGATTTATTATCAAATAATAAAACTTTTGTTTCCAAAATGACAAAATTCAATTTCCCCAAAAATAAAAAATATTAATTGGAAACAAACGAATCTTGAGAGTGTATATATGTTGTTGTTGTTGTTGTTGGTGGTGGTGGTGGTGGTGGTGGTGCAGGTCGTGGTGGTGGTGGTGCTGGATAGTTACTGAGTGTTCTGAGAGTTACTGAGAGTGGTGAAGGTGGTGGTGGTGGTGGTGTGTTCAGGGTTCAATGATGCATGCGTACAGGTGCCTTATTGTGATCTGTGGTGCTGTGCTGCCAATCCAATATTGAACGCAGCCAATCCAGTTTGAGTGTTTTCATTCAGCTGAACACAATCGAACGATACCAAAGCTGCAGGGGAAGCAAAAGGGACCAACTTCATGGAATGGCTACTGTTTTGAGAGCTTTGCTTTGAGAGAGTTTTGAGGGAATTTGCTTGGAGAGTTTGGAGAGCTTCCACAGAGTCGGCAGGCTTGATGTTCAGTAGGTTTGCTTGACCCAGACGCAGCAACTAGGGCTTCAAACTCGCAATTTGGTTCGTCGCAGTATCTGGACCACATTGGCCCAACAGTGGTTGATTGAAAGCGTTGAGCGGTTTAGAGAGACCAAAGCACGACACAATCCAAAGATTTCAAGAACCAGAAACCCTTGAACGCGTTGAGCACCACTTTTTGATTTAGAGAGACGCGAAGAAAACGTCTCCGTATGCCATGGCTTTGAAAACCAAGCGCTCACGGTTGTCAGCTGATGGGAATGTTTCCATGGTCAACCTTCAAGAAGCATTAGAAAAGGGCATGGCAGAGACAGGAAGGAACCTACACCATATGCTTCAGATGGCCAGAGAAGGGCAATGCAACTGGACCAGCACGCCGAAGACCGCGTTGGGAATACTTTCCAAGTACACTGCTGTGTTCCAGGAATTGCTGATCCTGTGCCCTAACACTGCGGTAAACAAGACCAAGATTGCGCAGGCAATCTATCAGTGCCATATAGATGGCGGTGAGGTGAGCAAGTTAGCCACCTTCAGCAAGGATGATGCTGACAAGGTTGGCGAGGTGATTCGGATTACCCTGAGCAAACTTCGCAAATGCAGCGCTGATGAGAAACAGCCACTAACTAAGATCGAGTGTTCTTCAGAGATTTGAGATGTTACATGTGCCTGAGAGTTTTGACATCGAGTTACGAGGGTTTTGACACCGAGTTTCTTGAGAGTTTGGTTTTTGGTTGCTTTGAGAGTTTCTTGAGAGTTTAGCTTTGAGAGTTTCTTGAGAGTTTAGTTTTTGGTTGCTTTGAGAGTCTTCGAGGTCTCTTTGTGATGAGAATTTGGAAACTAAGGTTCCAACGTACTTGCAGCATGGCCACTCAGCACGAAATCCAGATGCTCAGATCTTTGCTGGGAAGTGTTCATTACAATGAGAGCCAGGCCTATCCTTTGCATGTGACCCCCACCTGTGCTCCTTTGTTTTGTGCCCTGTATGCACCATGAATAGCGTGCCATTTTGGCATGGAGGAGGATGTTTGGAAGTCGCCTGATGATGATCTTCCCGACTTCAACGCACTCACCACATCCACGGCCTTTTGATTGATATTATCGGCGCAGAAGTTCTGAGAGTTCAGTTAAATGAAAGTTTGAGGATGCTGAAAAGCTTGAGGCAAGAAGTTCCAAAGATCCTGAAGTGTTACCTCTTGCGGTTGCTTTGTTGCATAATGTTGAGTTATTGTCACCCGAGATTTCGTAGATGAGTTATTGCAACCCGAGATTGTTGAGTTATTGTGACCCAATTTGTCACCAAGCCAGGAACCTGATGAGTCGGGGTTGAGGAAGGAAGGAGAATCCATATCCGCAGAAGATCAGAAACTGTTGGACGAGGTGCTTAAGTATTGAAAGTTTGAGGGTTCCGAGTGGAGAGTTTTGCGAGTTTTGAGAGTTTGAGAGTCGAGATTGAGAGTTATTTGAGGGGCTGAGCTGGCTCATGAAAAGGATGAGGAAGTGCGAAGGTAAGTGGGCCTTCAGGTTCAGTCAACTTCAGTTCTGAGAGGTACTTGGCAAGAAGAAAGAAGATAATTTTGTCGTGGAGGCAGCCGAATACGTGTATACGTATGCTTATATAGCTTAAACACCAATATTCTTGCAAGTGCAAGCTTTAAGGTATCCAGCAGCAGCCAAGAACAGGACGAGGAGGCACCTCCGTGCAAACGCCCGGCAGCTCGCACCAGCGCCAAACGCCCGGCAGCTCGCACCAGCACCGACCCGGACAAGGAACCTCCACGTAAACGCCCGGCAGCTGCTCGCAAGAGAGCAAAGAATCCTCAGAAGAAGTGGAAGAAGATGTTTTATAATCTTACGGAGAAAGCGGCGCTTCGCAACAACTTTAGCCATGGTCGTCAGATCATGCAGTTTGGCCAAAAGGGCATGAGCAAGGAGCTGGCGTATGGCATCTTGGACGAATGCATCGGACACCTGGAGACAGGGACACTGACTGAAGAGCAGGCCAAGGAGTGGTGCGAGAACAAGTTGAAAGATGTTGACTAGCCTGTTGGTGGAAGAAAAAATTGCCCACTGACAGCTCTTGAGGGAGTCTTTGAGTTCACTGAGAGTTTCAATTTGCTGAGAGTTCTGGAGAGTTATGAGTTTTGAGAGTTTTAAGATTTTCTTCAGAGTTTCTAAAAGCTGAGTTTGCGAGGTTTGCAATCCAATTGAGGCTTGCGCAAAATCGTGATATGCTTATCGATCTCTAAATCATATCTATATAGCTTTTGGCGCAAACACGCTTTCTTTGACAGTTTTCCCGAAGAACTCGATCGCTGTGATTTGTTCGTGCCATGTCCTCCAGCAGCGACAATTCGGAAACACCTTCAGAGTATGAACAGAGGATGTCATCCATGCCGATGGGCGGTATGATGCTCCGGCTCGGTGGTGACGGTTCCATGCAAGTGGATCCAGCGCCGGGCTACGCTCCGGACATGGAGACAGGTGGTATGATGTTGGCTGCGGTCATGCAGCTTTTGGCACGAAAGGATGCAGAGCGCAAGGCGAGTTAATTCTTAGAGTTAGTTTTTGCATATTATTGATTTGGAATTTCTATGCATTTCTGAGAGCTAGCTTCTGAGAGAGCAAGGCGGCAAACCAAGAGGATGGCCAAGGCAACGAGGATGCATCGTCCAGCCACGCCAATGCTGCCAATAGTGCGGCCGACGCTTCCAGTTCTGCCAACGCTGTCAATGAGACAGCTGCGAATGAGCCAGCCTCAAAGACCAAGAAGAAGAAAAACAAAAAGAACAAGGCCAAGGCAAGACCTTCAAAGAGCAACCGAGTGAGAGCTCTCGGAGAACCTCCTTTGTTAGGAGCTTGAAAGATTCTGTCAGTTTTTGTAGCGGTTTTTGAAGCGAAAAATGGATGCGCTAATCGAGCTTGGAGAGTATTTTTGGTTTCTACCTATAGTCATGGTTGTTTGTTTGATCTCTCCGTATTTTGAGAGCCTTGAGAGTTTAGAGAGAATTTGCTTGGACAGTTTTCTGGAAAGCTTCGAGAGAGTTTTGAGAGTTTGACTTAGAGAAGACAGGTGTGCCGTGACCGACCATTATATGTTCATCCGTCACAACCGATATTGTACTTGGCCCAAGAAGCAGGACGAGGAAAGCTCATGCGTTTCACTTGAATGCGTTCACAATCTCGGGAATAGTTAGAATATCTGAGTCTCAGTGCGAGCTATTGCGCATTTCACAATTTCACATGTATATCTGTAGAAATACTTCCCACTCTCGGGAATAACATTTGAAGTGTTCACAATATCTGACTCTCAGTGCGACCTATTGGGCATTTCACAACTTCACATGGGAAGC